TTTCTGCATACCACTCATATACCGGCTTTGTGGTTAAATGGTAGAGCGTTGGGCTATAAATCCGGAGGTCGAGTGTTCGAACCTGGGTTGAGGTGAATTTTTCATCTGTGGCAGAGATGGGAATTACTTTAGACCATCAGTTTCGAGCATTCTACCGGCTACTCCGAATTAGGTTTTCCTGCAGTTTTCCTTACTTAAGACCTTCTGCAGAAGTACCTCTTATAAAGGATTGTAATTGTAAATGGGCGCAAGCCTGTTGAGGGCCTAGAACAAGAGATAGATAATAAATAAATAAACAAATATCAGTTAGAACGATGGCACTAAGGGATTTACGTGAGTTTTTTTGGCATAGTGTACTTAGTATCTTTCCATGTCTTTCTTCCAATTCTTTTAATTATCCTTCTTCAGTTTCCAGACTCATCAAATTTCCTTTTTTTCGTAGAATTCATCAAACATTTGAATTTTTTCAGATTTTTAGATTGTTCAAAATTTTCTATTCTTCAAATTTTTCGGTTTCACCAGATTTCTTCGGACCTTTTGAATACTTCGGGGGTGAATTTTAAAGGACAATTACTGTTTGAGTGAATGTATCCGGAAGCAATAATTCGGGATACGTTCACGATCTATCTTAGGTTTAAGGGTAAATTTTGAGGGGCATATTTTACTGGGATCGGAGCTATTCTTACGTGTCTTAAATGAGATCAACTAATGTAATTGTTACTTACATTACAAGGGTTAGAGATCCTCGTTCGTACTAAATAAAATTGATCGTACACGGAACTGGTAAAAATGTTCCTACTACAATTAATCTTACCCGCGGCTAGCTCACTAATAAAATTAAAATATTTTCCTCCTTGGACGCCTACGCACATTGAAATCCTGTATATGTGCTTAGGGATGTTTAGTTGCTGTACAACTCCTAAGTGGCAGCTGTGGGTGTAGTACTCATTGCTCCAGACAGGCTATTCGTTGCAGCCTGTTTATTTGAGTATAAGACTGCTTTTCCTTCTGCTTCTGCTTCAAGATATGCCTAATTACACAATCTTTCCTAAGACACTCTTTTTGGATTCCGAATCGCCTTACTATACTCAGTGAGGGACGTTCTATATTCACTCTAGCACTCAGTTCCTCAGCTTTCCTAGTTCATTACTTGACCAGGGGGTGTTTGTATTTGTTTTTAGCGGATAATTCTCCTCCTTAAGGCCATCAGTGAGCAGTGTGACAAGTCGTTCTAGATCAACTTGATCCCTTCACACTAAGTCTCTATTACGGTATGAATGTGAATAAATGTGCGGTTTGCTTCTCAACCTTTATAAAATCTGTGAGAGAGACCTTCCATACCACTATTCTTCCTGCTAAAAAGGAGGAGGAAAAGGTAATATCCAGGACTTCTTTCCCGTCGCTGGTTATAAATGTTGGCTCATTGCCACCTCTACGATGGGTGTCCGTGCTGTCTTAGTGGAGGTGATGGGAGTTGGCGTTACATCATATAAGAGGATGCAGCCCCTTCTTGCAGTATCTGCTCAGGTTCCGTACCTTTTGGTGGCAGAGGCACTGCTGCATCGTTCTCCTCCGGAAAATTTTGGTAACACTGGTGCTTATTGGAGCCTCGACCACCACAGCGACCAGGTCTTTTGTTACGAACTCTGGAAGAGGAAAGGCTGTTAGTTTCTGCTTTACGGAAACCGCTTCCCCCTCCCCTTTCATAAATCAGGCTTCCTGCAGAATTAGGATAATCCTTGATTCGAGAGTTACTCCTAGTTCCTGTATAAGGGTGCGCTGATGAGCGCTTTCGCCCTGTGTAGGTTCCCCTGTATGATTTTAATGTCGGCCATTATGGGACATGGGGCTATCTTTTGTCTCCCTTGCATCCACCCTTCCCTTGCCTTTGGTTGAGCTTTCCACGACTTCCATTGTAGTCACCTGTCTGCAAGTGGACAGAACTTCCATGAGCGCCCCATGCGCGAATTCTTATCTAGATAAATGGCCGACGTACTGTCGACTGAGAAAACTATTACTGCGGTGGTGTTGTAGACCACCTTGCCAGGCCTTCATGTTAATGCATGCATTTTGGTTATATGTGCTCTGTCTGACTCTTCTCCCTCTCCCGGAAAGTGAGCCATGAACACGTGAAGCTTAGGAAGATCATTTTTTTCCCGGAGTTATCATCGGGGATGGTATCCAAATTAGGGTCTGCCGAGAAGATCTCTATTTTAATGCCGTGTAAGGCGTCCTGGAAGGTTTTCTCTGAATGTGTAGAAGCATCTCCGCCTTCTTCTTTGGAATGAGGGGCTGGGACGGTTTTTTAGGGAGTTATCTAGGTTCCCATCTGAGGACAGAACTGCTCCTGCTTTGTTACTCGAGGCTTGGGAGTCCTCGGGTGTTCCTTTAGAAGAAGGGACGATGCCACTGTCTTCGTCAAAGGCCAATAGGGCCCCTCGCTGTTAAACAAGCCTTGATCAGTGGGGGTTAGAGGTAGCGACTCCTCTGTTACTGCTGGAGTGGTTTTTATATTTAAGTCGGACATATAGATTCCACGAGTGGGCTTTTAAATGGTCACGGGGCAGCTTGCCCTAATCTCCACAGATCCGTCCCTTTAATGGTATTTTGATTACATCAAAAAAGTATCCGCCGCTAACTCTTAAAGATAACCCACCAATACTTCATGCAATTGAAAAAAAAGTAAAGTAACTTACAGTTATCGCTGGAATCGGTGTTTTCTTTAAATAGCACGTCCCACCTTTGAAAAAAAGCTCCCTTCCAGAAAAATTGAAAACTGGATCGCATTCGGGGTGATGCAGTTGAACCTTTTTGAGACTTGCTCTCGTACCAAAATTGCCTCTCGTGGTATGGAATCCTTCAGGATAGTGAAGCTTGTATTTACCTCGATCGCATTTAAAACTTTCATCAAATTCTAGTAGCCGAGTTGTTGTTGATGCACAAGAATTTAAAAAAAGTCAAATTTCACCTACTAATCATTGTATGCGCACGTGCTGTATTAGAACGAATTGTCTTTATCGGAATATATGAGTGCCGCATTACGCACTTTATTTTCGACGTTTTATCCGCGTTTTGTACACGGGTTTAAAAATTGTCACTACTACAATTCAGATCCACTAGCGATTTATGTTTTTTCTGCGATTCACAAAAGTGTGCAAGGAAGGCCTCTCTCTTTCTCTTAAAATCTCGCGGCATTATGGCTCAATGGTACAGCGTTGAGGTATAAATCCGGAGGTCGGGTGTTCGAACCTGGGTTGAGGTGAATTTTTCATCTGTGGCAGAGATGGAAATTACCTTAGACCAGTTTCGAGCATTCTGCCGGCTACTTCGAATTAGGTTTTCTTGCAGTTTTCCTAATTCGTAAGGTAAATACCGGAGTAGTATAGAACAACTTAAGACCTTCTGTAGAGGCACCTCTAAAAAGCATTATGCGGGTCACTCTGTAATTGGGCGCAAGCCTGTTGAGGGCCCAGAACAAGAGAGGGATAATAAATTAAAACTTCGTAAAAACTGAACGGAAAGCTCACACACTATTGCGATCCAGGTTTGCTTCTCTCTCTAATTTTATATACGTAGGTGCACAAAGAAGAAACGGAATCAAAGCAATCGTGTCCACTGTTATTCAATAATCAACCCTAGTCCCCTATACAAATTTTCGGGATGCGAAAATCCCGAAGTAATAATTCAGTGAGCGGATATATCAGCTCGAATACTATGCGAGCTTATCTGGGACGAGTTTTCCTTATGGAGAATTTTCGGGAGCAAGTGTTCCGGAAGTAATTTACTTGTAATGAATTATTCTATGACTAAATTTGTAGGAAAGAATTTCCCTCAACTTCCAAAATACAATTGGTCCGGGGTAAACTTATTTAGGGGTTGAATTTACGAAATGACTAATTTCTTAAGATAGAAAAATTGTATATAGTGACCAAAACGAAATGAAAAGAAACGTCTATGGAGTAGACGAAACAAATTTCGCATTCCAAGTTTGTCTACGTACGAATACAGACGTGTTCTACCGCTAATCAGTAAAGGTCAGTGATAACCATTAATTTCTATAATAAATCCTATAATGTACACTAACTTAACTAAATAATATTACTAATAATTAATTTACGAAGCTAATACATGAAAATGAATACACAAACACAAAAACCCATCACCCACAACTTTATATCTATCACTCGGGTTCCTCAAGACACTCGGATCCATCTGATACAACCACCCACATTTTTAGCCAACCAAACAGCGAATCCCACAAACAATTGGAAACCATGGAACCTTACACCTTGACAAAGACCAATAAATTTCCCCCATCTACTCCTCTGAGTCCGAAGGAGGAGTTGCGATAAAATTCATTTGAGAGAAGCCCCACTCCATTCCAACCTGGAAGCCTCAGCGACCACAGTATTCAACCCCAAGAAAATCACAATTTGTAAGTGTACATGCCAAAAGATCAAACCTTTGAAGAAGAAGACTCTACCCTAGCCTTTTCTACTAGGAGATTTCAACAGCTACCACATACTCTGGGGAGCAAATTTTACCGACAGCAGAGGCCAATCCAATAAACTTCCTAAATACTAACGAACGAACCCATTTTAATGCTGGCAGTGGAACCTTCTCACTTTTTCAACCCAAGACATTTATCCTGACCTGCCATGGAATGTGACCACTTTCCTATTAAAATCTGTGTCAATCTGACAGGACCCTCCAAAACACAGCAATCTTCCCCACCACCATGGGAACTTCGATCCGACTTCCAGCCTTTAATTATTGGAAACAAAACTATAGAAAATCTTTGTTTTATTCAAACACAGGTGCTAAAAACATAAGTTCAATAAATTTCCAAGGCTCAGGACATGAAGCTTTGTTTCCTTTTGGTTTCCAACGGTTTAAAACATAGTCAATTATCGTTAAGCAAGCATCTTGAATTTAGTGGGGCGCGTTAATTTCCTCAGCCTAAATTGCAAATATTACATCGACGTATTTTTTTGTTCCAGGTGCCCGCCAGCTTGCGATACTGTTCGGCCTTGTCGAGGTGAGTGTGCAGAAATATTTACAGTTTTGCATTGAAGATTTCCTAACGCCGTATTAACTTAGAAAAGAACGTAATTATATCCGTACGTATAGAGAGTAATGAATATTTAAACCTCTTTTTGCACAATTTGAAAAACGACACGAAATAAATCATTTATCGTTTACGGTACTTGAGCAGACAAATGGTGCAAATCAAGAAAGTTCAGTTAGATCGCTATATGGACAAGAATATAATAATTATAATCAAAGAGTCGTGGCGTTTATTGAAACGAGAAAAAAAAGTAGGGGGCCGGTGACATCGATCGGGTTGAATAATAACGAGGTATCGACCGCCTAATTAATAACGGAATGACAATAAAATTTCGTTTAAATCATCGATCAAAAGTAGGTTGCGCCATGGGTTTTGTAAATATCATTTCAGTACAAAGGCTTACATAACTTTGCGGAAATAAACAAATTACGTAATTGGCATGGACTCAATCTAGTTATTGTATTTTTGAAAGTTGAAGTTATTAGCGAGTTACGTTAATTGTGTTATTTTTTCTACTTCAAAAAAGGAACGGTTAGTGGGTTTCTTTATAGCACCGGCGCGAATTTGGTCTGGTAAACGACAAAAAATTGGATGTGTGCCCAAAATACTTGTGGTGATTGTACATTGATGCGTGTAATTGCAAATTGCAATTACTTTTATGTTGGGCAGTTTTGTGCAAAAACCCCTGAAACGTTACATACTCGTGCACGGCAGACATTAATTCTATTTCTAATCGACCGAAGAAAATTATTCGCAAAGTTGCTCTATGTCAATTCTTCCAACGGTTCTCTCATTAAGTTCCCATCAACATTTTTTATCCGCTAATTATAGCCGATTGCTAATTAACTGTGCTAGCGTAGACTCCTGCGCCGCAGACGTAGGTTCAAAGGAAACATTTTTTTTATGTTACCATTTTCCAAAATAAAAAAAAGCAGTGGCACATCAAAAGCAGTTCCTTATTTCTTTGCAGGTGCTACCGATTAACGAGTTATACAAAAAGCTAGGCAGTTGAGCTACATTCTTATAGTTCATCATGTTTTCGTGGATATGCAATTCAGGTCCTAATTAGAAATTTAAAGGTGGGTTAGGGGGCGATAATGATCAATTGGAAGTAAGAAATCCCCCGCTGTGTCTGTAACCAAGCTAAAGTCATTTGTAATGACTAAATCTAGAATTACATTGTAATCATTCCTTGATACAAATTTAGATAGGCAAAATGATCAGCCTGGTTCATTTAATTGATCCGTTGCATGAAGACCATATTGGGCGTTGTTCCACTTGATCACCACACAACATTAGCACAAAATTAAAAAAAGTCGAAAAGAGTACAGTTAGCATGAAGAACGTTGATGGGAAAATCTGGCTCGCCTGCAATAAACTTTGATTAACAAAGAATCAGCCCCCATCAGTACGGATACGATTCTCCTCCGTCTTCCATTCCACGTAGAATCACAACTTTGGACTCTTTGTCATCAATTCAGACAGTAAAATGGTATTTTTATATACAGTTGAATTCACGAAAGGTGAACCCTGCGTCATTAGTTTGTAAACCAATCCAATTATTTTAAATTATTTCCATGTCTTTCTCGTTCATGTGTTGACATGTGATAGAGAATAAAGAACTCGTCTGAAATTGCACGCAGGGCTCACCTACTTTTGGGATGCGCTGGTCGCTGTATATAGTGCTACTTTTTAAGAAGTAGACATAGGGATTTATGGTCGTGGGTTACCTATACTTTAATAAAACAAAATCTCTTCTGAAGGGCACCTAATTTTATGCAACCAAAACGACTGAATATCGTTGCTTTGGCTTCGTGCGTTCGTGTGCAATGTATTTAACTGAAGAAGACGTTGATATTGTCAATTGGTTCAATATGCCGGTTACAGTTTAAGGAGCGTAAGAGATTTATTTTCTATCAAAGTAACAATATTCGAACTAATTAATATGGCAGCCAAATGTTTGTTTTAAAAAGTTGTTCTTGATGCATAAAATTAGGCGCCATTCAGAAGAGATTTTGTCATTTAAAAGTAGACATAAGGATAAACAATATACATAAATCCCCATGTCCACTTCTTAATAAATAGCACTGTATAATATAACAGGGGAATAAGTCAATTTTTTTACCCGAAAATCGATTTATTTAACTTGCAAAAAGATAAGCACTGTACTCTGATGCAGCTATGTAAAGCTGCAGGAAATCATTCGAGCGGTTTCCCCCCGTGCAACCACAGAGAAATTTTTATCACCCCCGCCCCATGCATAGGAGGTGTAGAAAATGCGAAAATTTTGAGGTGTTGGTTAGGGGTGCGTGCTTCTCGTAGCCAGCGAAGGAGAGGAGATTCGAAATAATTTGCGCGCAATTAACCCCGTCAGAGGTCTACACGGATCGTGCAGTTCGGAGAAATTCGTGGTAATGTTCCAAATGAGCTCCTTAAGGGTTATAAGGAAAAAGTGAAAATGGAAATGCTCGCGATGCTACGGGGGTCGTAGAGGGAACAAGAAGTGGAGATGTTTTGGGGGACACTTTCACGAAATTTTTCTTCATAAAATGCCTTTCTAGGGGGGTAGTGCGGAGCCAAAAATTTTTCAAAAGGCGCACGGATTGAGTGAGGGAGATTTTTGTGGGGGGTTCGCAGTTCGGTGAAACATCCCATGATCAAGGGGTTTCAAGGAATTTCAACCTTCGGGACGTCTATACCAGAGGAAATTTAGATAAAATTCGAAACCTGAAGACGATTTTTTAGATTTGTTAAAAATATAGTAACGTAGAATAGATAACAATGTATGAAAAATGTTGCAGAGGAAAATTAAGAAATTGCCGGCGGAGATAGCGAAACGAATAGAAGGCATCGCCACATTTCGAACGCACCTGGTATCGAGAGTGCACCCCCACCCTCCCCCTCGACGCAGAGATAACGTTAGGGCACCTTACCGCGGGAATGCAGGGGGAGGGCGTATCAAGTTGCTTTTTCTTGTGTTGGGTGAATGGGGAATGAGCGAGAAACGCACAATTTCGGGGACCGGGACTTATTCTTTAAACGTTCATTATCCCGAGTACATGAGACTTTTAGGAGGAGTTAAAATTTCAGCCCTCGTGATACATGAAAATCGCGCAACTAAACGCTTGGAAAAAATTCGCGACTTCCACGATCGCAGTAGTATATTTGAGGATTGGTCGCGTTTAATAGAACAAGAGAAAAAAATTCGGCGCCACCGGAAACGAGACCGGCCTTAAAGGGCGCAGAAAATGCATTTTCGACCTTTAATCCCGATCATATTCAATCGCACTGATACTTGAAGTCGTAGAACTCGATTGGGGACGGTCGCAGTATATTTGGGGATTGGTCGCGTTTAATAGAACAGGAGAACAAAATTCGGCGCCATCGGAATCGATACCGGCCATAAAGGACGGAGAAAATGCGTTTTCGACTTTTAATCCGGCTCATATTCAATGGAACTGATCCTTGAACTCGTGAACATCGATTGGCGAAAGTTTGAAGTCGTACGAAATGAGGACTTGCATGCGAAGTGGTCAAGTAGATGTGGTCATTAATTTGAGATTGAACACAATTCGAATTATGGCATTTGAATGTGATTTTGTTTAATAATTATTTAGTGTTCTTAGATTTGCTTAAATAATTCCTTGTATTTTGTTTATTTCAATGTAAAACAATTACGTGAAAGATTAGCTTTATTCTTTTTTAAAGGTTTTATCTCCGGGCGTTGCGACAAGAAGCTCAGCTAAGTGAACTAGTTAAGTTTGTAGTTAAGCGCGTTTCGCCGATATACCCATATTTTGTGTTTAATTTATTCGAAGACGCAGTTGAAAAACGCAAGGGAAATTGTCTTATATAGGAGAGGAAGACGTGAATCGTAGCTTTTTTGGTGGTGGATGTTAATCATTGTTTTTTTTTTTGCCGAACATTAACACGTAGCCGGTTATCGTTTTGTGTGTCAGTTTTGCCGTTATCGAAGCTTTTTGAGCAGACAATTTTATGGATGAAAGTTAGAGATTTAAGTTGTCGCGATAAAAGTTTACGGATGAGTTTCGGAGTGCTGTTTTTATAGTACCAGTTACAGTGAGCTTTTTCATAGACAAAGACCTAATTTTACAACTGTAATTCAAACAAATTCAGTGTCGCCTAATACGAAATTTAAGTGCAAGTAAAGAAGTGAAGTTCCAGAAGCAATATCAGTTGGTTTTTGTGTTTGCTTGTGCGTTCTGCTTGTTCAAAAACCTTTGATGCTGGGTATAGGGTATAAAACGACGTAGATTTTCATGTAGATTTCGAAATGCAAAAAATATAGGGGGTTCTATTGAAAATCAGAAAGTTAAACCGGAAGTGAAACGATTATGATAATAATTTTCTTTCGATGTTGGTACACAAATTTTCAGATTTAAATTATTAATGGAGGTCTAAATACTTTTAGGGACGCCGTGCAGATGCTGGTGTACGGAAGTGGTCTCCAGAAGGGAGAGCAAGGGCCGGGCTACCTCTCGAGAGAGGATGCTTCGGCGGGCCCTCGACGTCACCTAGCTTTAAGTAGAGAGAAGGGAGTGGGTATACCTCAATGGAGTTCCACACACCACCTGCTATAGAGCCGAGCGGGGCAGCCTATAAAAGGTTTCCCAAACCTCTATAAAAAAACGGCTGTATATATACTTAACAAAATTGGAAGGAAGTCGTAATTATTTCGATCCTTAGCCTCGGAAAAGATGTTAATAACCAAACCTTCTAACGTGCTGTGCGATCTAGTCACTGTAATGGGAGGCTAACAATCCCACACATATTTCAAGGAGGTCCGGGTTTGGGATAAAGAACAAAACATAGATAAGCACTTATCATAATATTCCAAGGGACAGTCGTGCGATGCTAAAATAAAAAAATCCAGCAACACAGGAGACATTAAAGAGGAATAAACCACGAAGAATCTTACCAAATTATATTTAGGAGGATTTCAATAAACA